TAAAGTAAGATACTGAGACTTGTCATCCAAGAAAAGGGTGTATAGCTATCTCTACTAACTTAAGCCTTCTTATAAGTCTTTCAGTTAAGATGATAATTTTCATTAAACTTTTTTAGGTACTCCATATTTCCTTCAATTACCATAGATACTTTTATAAAAATTATACTTTATGATTTTTATGTTTTTAGAAGTTTATTTTTATAAGGATCTGGTATTCAGCAACCTATTGAATATCCTCATTATTTTTGGTAACTTGTAGTGGATTTTCATGGAGTTTCCACTAAGACAATAATCTTTTCTGTGAATAACAAAAATTGTTTACCTTTTTTTGTGATTCTTATCTTTTTTTTTCCTTGTCCTTTTGTCTAATAAAATGTTGACTGGCGTATGAGTATATATTTTATTATATATGCATATGCAAAATAGTATAAAATGGTTATAAAATTACATGAAAATATTTATAATTTTAACATCTTTTCATTATGTAATTATACATTTTAAGAATTTTTAAAAATGTAAATCTCATATCTTGTAAAATCCAGTGTATAAATTTCAAATAATGTAGTTACAAACAATACATAATTAAAAGGTTATGCTGAATGGCTATTGTTTAATTGTCTTTTTATTCTGAGATATGCCTGATTAGATTATTATGGGTCATTAAATACTTTGAATAATTTGTTAATACTTTTAGGACTTTTCTTAACACTTTAGCATGCATTTATCTAAGTTTTATGTAAAATTGGATTCTCATTGTCCTTGTTTTTATTTCTTTTCTACTGATCTTCTCCTTCCTGATCTCTCCTCCCTAATCTCATTTTCTCTAAATCATCTCTAAAAAAGCCCCTGGTCCTGCTGATGGGCAGAATCACAGCCTCTGGGACAGGAGTCTCTGGTGTTTCTCCTTGGCTAGGAAAGCAGTAAACTGTCTTTTTCCTTTTTCTCAAAACCCTGTCATTGCAATTGGATTGGCATCCAGGACAAGGCTTTCGGCAACAATACTACTAGATAGAGGCTGCAGAGCTACACAGGAGTCCAGAATACTTTTTACACTTTTAAAAGGTCTAACACACACACACACACACACACACACACACCCCACACAGAACACTGAATAGAAACTGTGGGGCCATAAAGCCTAAAATATTTGCTGCCTGGCTTTTTACAGAAAATGTTTGCTAACTTCGGCACTAGATTCACAAAAACAAATTGGACAATTTTTTTCTTTATTCTTTGAAATAAATTCTCTAGGAGAGGGATATATCAAGGATCCCCTTGACTCAAAACAAAACTTGATCCCATCTGTTTTGTTGATAACACCTACCAACTTTTTATAAAAATAATCCCTTTCTTAAAGAAGTTATTTCATAGAGTTTCACATTCTAACCACATTTTAAGTGCCAGTAACCACATGCAGCTAATGGCTATCATATGGAACTTACCTACTTCTAAAAGCGCTAATAATGTGCCATTCACATTCCACTCTGCCATCATGTGTAATTGATTTCCATGTAGTAGGAGACAGCATATGTAAACAAGGAAACTAAGTACTTTATAAAATCCGAGGGAGATTTTTCAGACCACAGAGCCAATCGGGCTTTCTTAGGAACGAAAACAGCTTGATCAGACTAAGGCTTTATAAATGTCTCTCATTTCTGTATATTCTCTTTTATTGCATGAGGATTTGGGGACATGTCTGCCAGTTGTTCTAGGGTCACATCTTTCCTACTTCCAACAGATGAGAGTAGGTAGTTGTACTTCTCTTCAGAAATATTCCAGCTCAGGTCATATTCCAATATATTGCAGTCAGAGAGATGGATATTTTTGGCCAAGCCTGGATTCTATGCCCATATTTATAACCATGGAACAGAAATTGTTCTCACAAAATGGTAGCTACCACAGTATTCCTTGTCCACTTCATCCATGAGTTGCTTTTAGGGAACTGGAACTACTCCTTAACCACTAAATAAGTATAGGTGAATAGTCTCTTAATTTGACAGGAATGTTTAAAATAAAGCCAAAAGCAGGAGTAAGAACATACATTTACTTGCTTTGAATTCATTTTTATGGTAGATATTTGAAAACCATCCAAATTCTTAGTTTACAAGCTTAGAACTGATGATTACAAGGGCTTGCTAACATTAACAATAATTCAACATTTTCTTTGTAACTTGCATTTTTTTTTTCCAAATTTCTGGGTGGTTAGAAGAGACAGGATGGCAGGATGGTGTCTTTGATAGCTATGAACAGGTTTGAAGAAATTTTGAGTGTGACTCTCTGGAATGATTACACAGTCTTTTCTGCCCTGAGTCTACCTTAAACAATTTTCTTCACAAATATTTTTAAAATAATGCAAAAAAAAAATGGTATTTAATACTGAAGGAACATTTTTCCTCCATTCAAATTTATCTAACTTCATGTCTGAGGGAGCCTTAGTCTCAATTTATTAGGCTCATCATTTATAACAAAATTTCAAATTGAAGTGTGGCTCTGTGTTAGAGACAGAAGGGTTCCCCCAGGGTCTCGGTGTTCCAATTTTAATTCCTATTTCTTCAGGGCTAATATGTTCCCTTTTTTGGGGGAAATGAAAGCCTTTTTTATCCCCCCCCCCCAGGATCATTAATCAAGAGAATTGTGTAAGTGGAAAGAAGAATAAGGAGCTGGAGGAGAAGTGGAAGGAGGAGTATCTTTTCTTTAGTTTCTGTGTTTAGGAGTTGACATGATTCAATAAGAGAAACTTCCCACTTTTATTTTTTGGAGGACATACAGCTGAGAAAAAGTATTAATTTTGACTTTTATTACCCTGACTTGGCATATCCAAAGCAAATTATGTAGACTTCAGATAGATTAAAAAAAGGATTATGTAGCCCCAATTATTTGCATGGTGAAACACTGATGTGGGGTGATTTTCTCAGGTGCTTACCTAACAGAGCAGGGCTCTGGGATTCCGCAGTACTTTTCCAGTAGCTATGTCTTTCTGGTATTATCCTGGCACCCCTCTGCCCACTCCTACCCCACCCAACCTTCCTCTCACACACAGGTTTTTTTTTTTATTGTTTTGGTTCAGAAGTTCAGAAACATTTAATGGCGCGTGTAAATGTAACTCCAAGATAATGACGTCTAATGCTTCTTGTTAAATTCAAAACCACATACAACCCTAGCCAAAAATAAGAACTAGGACTTCTTTTCTTTTTGTATTTGTTTTTTTGTAGACACTTGGTTGGGAAAGTCAGAAGTTTAAAAGTGTTTGCCTTTTGGACTTTTTAAATAGAAACATTTTAATCTTAGCTTACAAGTCTAATATACTTTATTTTTATTACTATAATCTTTTAATAATTCATTTTGATACATAAAAATTATACATATTAATTGGGTACGACATAATATTTCAATCCACCTGTACATTGTGAAATGTTTAAGTTAGTTTAAACATATTTATCCTTTCAAACACGTTATCATTTCTATATGGTAAAAACTTACAAAATTATAACTTTTTAAAATGTACAGTCTCTTATTGCTATTTATAGTTATCCTGCTGTGCAGTAGCACACCAGACTTTGCTTCTATTTGACTGTAGGTAACTTTGCACTCATTAATTTTAATACATTTTAAAATTATAATCATAACAAGGCTGGGGTTGTAGCTCAGCAGTAGCGCACTTGCCTGGCATGTGTAAGGCATTGAGTTTGATCTTAGCACCACATACAAATAAATAAAGATATTGTGTCTCCATCTCTAACTAAAAAAATGAAAAATAAAAAATAATCATAACAATCCACACATCCAAAAAAAATTAGATACCATATCATTACCTTCATCATCTATTGATATCATTACCTTCATCGACTATTATTTGTATATCGCTTTTCAGGGTTTTGCTCTATGCAATGCTTTTAGGTAATCATAACTATTGGTTAATTTTGAAAGTAGAAATTTTTTGTTAACTTGAAATGTTGCTGAAACTTCAGTCCTTATTCCCAATACTAATCCAATTGTGAGACATGGTTTTGAGAAAAAGGAAAAAGAAGTTTTATTGCTTTGCTAGCAAAGGAGAAACACAGGGGACTTCTGTCCCCAAGGCTGTGATTCAGCCCATCAGCTTCTTGGGGGCTTTAAAAGAGGTGATTCAAAGATTTCATTCCATGCATTGTCTGTTGGAGTTTTAATTCACTTGTTAATTTGGGATAATAATTTCTGAGATCTTCTGATACCATCCCCAAAGTCTGGATTACTTTGTTCCTATGGTGGGCGTGTGCTCAAGGACATAACTCTGCCTAGGATGGGAACAATGAGGTTATATTCAAAGCATGGACACTGTCACAGAAGGAACAACATGCAAATGAAAATCTGTATCTTCTACTTTAGGATATCACCTAGTGCTGATGAGAATCAGAAAATGACTATTTTCTGAAGTCGCTGTGATTTTTAAATTTGTGACACTCAGATGATAATTTTAAATACTGCTTTAGTATGAAGTGTAAGAAATAAAATAATTTTGTCTTTTAATGTTGGTTAAGACTTACACTTGTTATGCATGTACAGGCAGAATTTACAGAGTATAGACTCTTTCTAACTCTGTAAATACATAGAATTAATTGTGTTGCTAGGATACACAAAATAAAAAAAATCAGTAAGATATATATTATGAAATCTAAATTTTGTTTCTATAAAAAATGAAGCTTCTAGGTGCTTTCGATTAACAAGTTGTGTGTGAAACATGTTTTATATGTGAGTTAGAGAAAAAAAAACTCTTTAAAAAACTAAGTCATCATTTCCTGTTTCATTTTTCATTTTCTTTTGGCTCTCAGGGCTTTCCTCTCTCAACAGGAGTTACTTTAAGTTTGTGAGAAGATCTGTTCTGAGTTGACTTCTTCTGGATTGGTTAAGATCTCTTTTAAGTGTGTGCTTTGTTCTCGGAAAAGCTTAGGTCGGTGAAGCAACACGCTGCTACTGTTTGAAAAAAAAAAAAAAAGCTGAGTAATGCTGGAGGCTTCTCCGGTGGCTGATGCAAACCTGGAGAATTTGCATCATCATGTAGCTGGAGTAAATTGGTGTGACAGGCGGGAGCTTAAATACAAGCCCATGAGGAAGCTGGGCTGGTTCGTAAGGCTAGGGCGGCGGAGCCCGGGCGGCAGCCACGGTGCTGGGACCAGGAGCAGGGACCGAGAGTCCCGGGAACACACAGGTGCCCGAGAGTCATTCGAGCGCTTTGAAGGATAAAATAACACCTTTGAGTTTTTCACCTGTGAACACAATAGCGCTGAGACACTCTGAAAGCAAAGAGGAGGAGACCGATCAGTCACCCCAAGAGACACTAAAAGTTGAAAGTTTTGCTTTTTCTTCCCCTGTTTGATTTTTGCCCCGTGTGTCACTACTATGGTCAGAAAGCCCGTGGTGGCCACCATCTCCAAAGGAGGCTACCTGCAGGGAAATGGGAAGGGGGCGCTGCCCTCCGCGGGGGGCAGCGAGCCCCCGGAGCCGGAGAAAGTGGTGCTGAAGAAGAAGATCACCTTGCTGAGGGGCATCTCCATCATCACGGGCACCATCATCGGAGCCGGGATCTTCATCTCCCCCAAGGGCGTGCTGCAGAACACGGGCAGCGTGGGACTGTCGCTCGTCATCTGGACCGCCTGTGGGGTCCTGTCCCTTTTTGGTGAGTGCACCTCCTTCTCTGGGATGTGTGTGGGCGTGGGGCTGGAAAGTTTTGGTCTCCGGGAAAGCCAAGAGTAAATGAATGGCAAGAGCTACAAGGATTTTTTCCTTCGTGTTGGGTATGTGCACTAGGCACACACCGTGCTCCTGGTTGGCGTGATCCTGAATGCTCTCAAATGGCTTCCTGCAGGCTATCCTCTTCTTTTTCTGACCCAAACAGACTCTTTCCTGACTTTCCCTGTGCTGAGGAAAGCAAAAAGTTAACTTTGACGACCCAGAAAATACACGCGGACTTTCTGTGCCGGGCAGTGGTGCTTGGCTGTGTCGGTTTGGGGGCGTTCTGGCAGCTGGATGGCTACAAGAAACACCTGTGAGGTGAAACCTGGCGTGGCCTTCAGAGGCAGGACTCAGTGTTCACAGAAGTCTTCCTGACTTTTTATTAGCGGAACAAATGCGTGGCAGTCTTTTCCTTCTGAATTTTTTTTAGGTTCGTGTGCTTGTCAATTCCAAACTTTCAAATAGCTGGACATGGAAAGATGTGTGATGGACAGAACTCAATTCAATCACAAATCGAGAATGTTGCAATGGCCTCAACATATTTCAAGGCATTTAAAAAAAAAATTCATAACATCTGTAAACACTTGCAATATAAGTTTAAAAACTGCAGTTGGATGTTAGTTTTCTGTACTTGCCAAGATCTGTTTTTCTCATCTAATTTATTTCACTTGGTCTCCAGGGACATAGATAATTTGTCCACCTGTTCACTGAATTGATCTGAAGAGAACTGGTACAAGAAGTATACTTATTATTTTTTTTTCCAAAATATATTTCTCTTATATTGATTTGAGAATTAAAATTAAAGAGAAAATAAATGCCTTCTCATCGGGTGAGCAAATTACTACAAAGCTACCTGAATTAATTATAAAGGTGACAAAAGCTGGCGAATTGTTAAAAAAAATTGATTTATGACATGGGGTAGATGTCTAAGATATATTTGCTCTCTTTGGAACATACTGTGCTTAGATTTCAAAAGATACTACAGTTTATAGTTACTAACTCTTTGTTCTAACACTAAGACCAAGTGCTAACTCTTGGTTGGTCCTCTGTGTACCAATCCATTCATTCCTTCTGCTCAGGTCCTGTGATGGCTGGGGCAGTCATCTAGAAGACTCAGGTTTCCATTTTTAGGAAGAAGGTGTTTTAAGTAAAGTCTGTTAAAGCAAAGTCTTAGTATAGAAATATCCTTAGAGGAATTATTTTTGTTGGTCTTAAGAGTTTGTGGTATTATTTATGTGAATGAATTGTACTTCTTAAACTATTTATTTCATATCACAGTTGTATATCATTATTTTCCCATTGTTACTTTTCATCCTTGCCAAATACTTTGGAGTCATATGATGATGAAAAACCCTGATAGAACCCTTAGCTACTATTAATATTAAATGGTTCTGGCAAATGCGGTGTATAGGTAAACTAAGAGAAACCCAACTGCGGATCATCTTTAACATGACTTTGTGCACCCCCAGCCTTTGCTCTTTCTATAGCACCTGAGGTATTTAGAATAAATCAATATGTAATCAGAATGACAACCCTCTCCTGGTCTTTGCAAACTCATGCACTTGCAGTCCCCACTACATGACTCAGTTTTTGCACGCAATAAAAGTTTATTCATATGTAATAAAAAAAACCACTGAGTACTAAACTGGTAAAAGGGATGTTGACTTTTATGGTGAAAATATGCTGATTCATAATATCTTGTGCAGAAGCTTAAACAAAACAAAAAAAAAAACTCTAAGGGGAGTGTAGCATAGCTAAGGTTACACTGGACCTGATACCTGATATTTTTGATTAGTAATTGCAGGAAGTGTGCTCTTGTGTTAATCAACTTGTTCATATTTGCATTGCATTTTCCACTTAAACTCTTAGTATCTCTCAGGAATGCCTCCCTAATAGGAAGCAAAGCAAAACTAGGACTAAGAGTCAAGAATTGGTAGGTATAAGGCTGGGGCTGGGGCTCAGCAGTAGTGCACTTGCCTGTCACGTGTGAGGCACTGGATTTGATGCTCAACACCACATACAAATTAAATAAAGATATATCAACAACTAAAAAAAGAAAAAAAAAGAATTCGTAGGTATATAGATGGTCTCCTACTTATAATGGTTCAACTTATTATTTTTAACCTTACAATAGTGTAAAATAATAATAAATTTTTTGTTAGATGATTTTGCCCAACTGTAGGCAAATGTAAGTATCCTGATTACCTTTAAGGTAAGCTAGTCAAAGCTATGGTGTTCAGTATTTTCAACTTAAGATGGGTTTGGGGATATAACCCCTCTGCAAGTGAAGAAGCATCTATATTTGATTTACAACTTTTTTTTTTTTAATGCCAGGGTCAATACATGGATTTTTTTTTTTAATCCTGTTTTGAACCTTTTTCATCTGGGCAAAATGGTTATGGAACTTGAGACCTTTAAATGAAAATCTCATTTCCCCAGAATTCAATTTAAACCTAGGGCAACCATGCTAGAGTTTCAGCAAAGCATAGCAAGGTCCAGGTATTGATTCTCTAACAATAAATTCCGAGGTACTTAAGGCTGTTTCCAATAACATTTTATATTGGATGCTTTTCTAGACCGCTGACAAACATGGTAGCTTTTCCCAATGGAAGGTGAATTGCATCTGGTATAATTAGTTACAAATAGACAGCATCTATCAGTGATCCCTGAATATTTATCTGCAGACTAGTTATGTAAAAATGATCCATGGGAATTTTTGAATCCCTCTTTTGGTGAGTCTGGACTCTCTTGCTTAGAGGCTACATCTAGAGTATCATCCTATAGTCTGCTTTTCATTTGATTGTTTTTGCATTAAAAAAAGAATTTCCACAAGAGTTTTTGGACTGATGAGCATTAGAAATCGTTTGGAATGGAAATACTGCATTAAAGAGAAGGATCAGATTAGGGGTGATTGGCACATGTTTCATAACTACCTCTGAACAAAGAAAAATTTATTATGAATTTCACTGGTTTAAGGATGTGTAGCGCACAATCTACAGACTACAATAAAATTTATAATACTCTTTACTGTAAATTCCATAAAGCAAATTAATTCTCAAAAAAAAAAAAAAAAAAAAAAACCACCAGAATTTCCTAGGTGATTCTGGTAAATGAGATTCAGGAATCAGATAAGTGATACTAAGATTTCACTGAATATCCAAATTATATTTATGTTGGACGGTTCTGTATGAAGTACTCCTGATAAGTGGTAACTTTCTGCATGAATAGCTTCTGAAGACACTCAGGCAAACTTAGCAGTATAGATAGAACTTTTCACATGACATTAAGATCTATTTTTCATTTTCTTGATAATTAGTTGTTCAAATTGATAAGTACAGCTGTATTTCACGTGTGGTTTGCTGTGTTTCAGGCCCAGTGCTCTGTCTGGCAACCATTGTCACATACACACAGCATTCTTGGGAGGTAAAAATGGAGATTTCCATTCCATAGGGAATGAAACTGAGCCTTGGGGAGGTAACATAACTTGCCCAATTCCATGGGAATTGTATTACTAAATGTTACTATTTAGTTTATACTTACTTTCACCTATATTAATGTACATGACAGCATCTCTTTTTTTAAAAAGTATATATACTTTCAACCATCCAGAGTGTACGCTTCAGAAATGCACAGGATGACCTTTCCCACAAACAGAATACCGCAGAATTTGTTGTGTTGACAAACTATATCATGCAAATTAAATGAAGTCTTGCAAGGGTTATAGTCCACATTTTGCTGAAGAACAGATAACTCTTACTTACATTAATTTGCCACAGAAACATCATTTGTTAAAAGAGCTCTCCACATAATGAGGTCAGTTTGGGATAATTACTTGTCTTGTATACGGTTTTGCTTTTCAAAAAAACAGGTCAGTACTACTGGCATCTATCTTCTCTTTTTCCTTTTGCTCCCAGGTTTTTCCAACTCCAAATTCTGAATCATATGATATTGTTTAGAAGTTCATGTTTACCATTTTAAGTAAAATGACATTGTTCAAATAGAATGAAGTAGGTCTCCAATGTGAGGAAGTTAGAAGAGGAACTTGCTAAGTCTCAGCAATTAGATGATGTCATTTCAGACTCAAGTGGTTACTTTGCACGCAACATTAGCGTCAGTAAGAATTCTACCACTAGGTGGCCTGATTATGTATTAAATTTGTACCTTTTTATTATAACCGTTTCACAGGAGCCTTGTCCTATGCTGAATTGGGAACAAGCATAAAGAAATCTGGAGGTCATTATACATATATTCTGGAAGTGTTTGGCCCATTACTAGCTTTTGTGCGAGTCTGGGTGGAACTGCTCATAATACGGTAAGAATATAAGAAAAAAATAAGGAAAAATAAACCTTAGTCATCCTATTCTTCTGAGTGACTTGATTATTTTTAACTCATCAGAAATATGTATTTCATGTGCCTATGTTGTAAATGTGTATACTCAGCAGAGAACCTGTGATACACTACCTTTCTGGATTAACATTGTTAGTGTAGTTCTATCATTGGCAGTGGTTCAACAACAACACCAGACTTTTAAAGTACTGCTTACCTTTAATCTTTGATTATTCTCTTTTACTTTTCTAGGATAGATGCTTATTTGAAAAGATATGAAGCATCAAAATCCATCTTGATAAGTCTTACCTTTTGATTGACCAGGCACAATCAAATAGGACAGGAATTGGAATTGTAGATTATGTCATGAAGTTATTTAACTTTACCCTATTTTTATGACTAAGAAACATCTGTGCCTGAAAACAGTATTATCAAATCTTATTCTTTAAAAAATTAAGTTTACATACCATACATGACTCACTTCCTCACATAAATAGACCAGTGAACTGTAGTTGCGAAAATCTTTTGATTTTATTGTTGTAGGAATGTGTTCCCTTTCCTGATCTTCTTGGCACCAAATAATGCTAAGTCACTCTGAATAGCAGGTTTCCTTCAGCTTTGTGGGAGACTTATGATGTCATAAGAGTGTCACAGTCCCTTAAAGCTACTGCCTCATAGGATGTGACTTGCACTTTCTGATTACAAAGCTTAATAGAAATAAGGAGGGAAACTTGGTCTTACTGTATACTTATCAGACATACATAGCTGAGAGCTAATAGGAGCTTTTATTCTGTCATTTACAGTAAGTGGCAAATGCAAAGCTAATGAATACCCATTAACACTAATCATGATCTTTATGGTGTTAGGAGTCTCTTTTCAAACATAGGACTTCAGAGTAGTAGAAACTTCAATGGCAAGTCAGTCTATTCTCATTGTAAACATTTCTGCAGTACTTAAAACTTCTTATAACAAAATAATGATAAAGGAGTATTTTATTCCTTTTCTCAGGTCCCCTTACCTGGGATGTACCTTCTGTTCCTTTCTGATTATCTGAGGCATACACTCTTCCAGGGCCAACTTGTGTCTTATCTTTTTCATAGACAATTGCATGTTTATTCTAGTGGATAGTGTTTCTTTCATCTCTTAAATCTTCTGAAAAGATGTGGTCTCTGCTTCTCATCTAACAATGAACTCAGCACCTTGTATTTTTTGACACAGTATTTCAGGTGACTGTGTTCTGTTTCCCTGTATAAATTGCAAACATTTCAAGAATATAAACCCAGGTTTTAACATTTTTTGTAGCTCTTTTTTTTTTCCCCTTCTTGTAACTCTTATACTACTTATATGAGTGCCCTGTATATACTGGGTATAAATTGATACCTTAGATTCCTGTCCCTCTTCAGCATGCATTTGCTGTGTAACTTTGGCTAATTGCTTGGTATTCTTATGAGCATGATCATTCCATTTGCAGTGGCACAGATATGGTGCTAATTCATTAATTTATTCATTTCACAAACTGCTACCGAATGGTGAATGGCAAGATAAAGAGATCTAAATTGGAATGAGTCACAATTCCTACTCTCAAATAACTGATAAACAGATGCTGTTTTAATTTTGAAAAAACTGTTTAATGGTGTGTAGTGTGTGTGTGTGTGTGTGTACAGAGAAAATGACTTAGATAAATTCTAGAAGCTTTTCAATGTGTGTGTGTGTGTGTGTGTGTGTGTGTACCAAGATATATATAGGTTAGTCATACAGGACTCCTATCAATGGAGTGATCTGTCAAATAGGCAGAAAACAAATGACTTGAGGAGACACAAGGTACCTAAATAATTAGTCATTCTTTTCTTTTACTAATACCCATGATACCAATATATTTCTTATTAAAATTATACCTTAAGTTACCATTGCCAGAAATAATCTGTAAAACACATTCAAGGAAAGAAAAATCACCCACAGTACATAGCATGGTTCATTAAACTGAACTCAATCCTTCACAATATATTCAATACGTATTGTTCCTACACCATGGTACACATTGCATTAAACAATGGGGGAAGAGGGGTTATTCAGGTAGAATAACCTTGTGCCCATGGAATTCAGGGTCAAGTGGGGGAATGGTTATCTATCAGGTAATCAAATAAGTAAATGATAAGAGATATGAAAGAGAAATCAGGATTCAGTAAGAGTGTACTCTGGGGAGACCTGACTCAGACAGAGGGTTGGAGAAGCTTCTCCGAACCAAGAACAAGTAAACCAAGATCTGGGCTGGGGACGTCCCTCAGTGATGGAGTACTTGTCGAGCATGTATAAGGTCTTGGGTTTGATTCCCAGTACTGCAGATAAAAAGAAACCAAAATATGAAGTATAAAATATGGCCAGTGAGTTGAAGAGGCTCCAGGCAGAAGAAAAGAGATTTGGATCTCTCTAGTGGGAGGGAGCTGAATGAAGCCTTGAATACAATGCAAAGCATTTCCATGTATCCACAGCACATTTTGAAAGTGCTAAAATGACATGATCAGGTTTTAATTTGCACATTAAAATTTTTAATAAATGATGAAGAACAGGAAAAATTGTGTCATTTGGAGGAAAGAGGAGAGGGTCTCTAGGAAAAGAAGGAAATCATGAAATTTATGGTGCTATCTGGCACCCAACTCAAGGTTGGAAACACAGAATGGTGGTGGGTTTTCTGATAATCTGGATCCGGTCTGGGCATTAGGTGACCAGGAGAAGAAAGAGAAGCTGAAGGGGAAATTAGATGATGCATGTGTATGGAAAGAATATGCGTTCATGTATAAATATGAGTACAATGGAAAAGTGTGTGTGATTTTTCTCTTACAAATATTTGAAGAATTAAACTAGAATAGTTTATTACCTGTGTTGCTATATACCATTCTGTGTTTCCAACCTTGACTTGGAAACCGGATAGCACCATAAATTTCATGATTTCCTACTTTTCTTTGAGACCTTTCTCTCTTTGTATGAAATTAAGAACAATCACTTTGTTTTGAGGTTTTGTACTAGAAAGACAAGAAAAAAACAATGCTAAGTATTTAGGCATGAATTTGCATTAATTTGCAAGGAACACTTATGAATGCTGATTTTTTTTTTTTTAGGTTGAATTTTGTGTTCCTTCTTCTCACTATACTCCACTCCATTAGATCTATACCATTAACAAATTCATACCATAGCTTGAGTTTTATTACAGACTTAAAAGAGAATGAAGACCGGTTCTTATAAGGAAGGCCCAGTCAGGGTCTCATATAATAACCTAAATTTTTATTTTTATTTGTTTTTTTTAAACTTTTTTTTTTTTGGTAGTTGTAGATGGACAGAATGCCTTTATTTTATTTGTTTATTTTTGTGTGCTGCGAAGGATCAAACCCAGTGCCTCACACATGCTAGGCAAGCACTCTGCCACTGAGCTACAACCCCAGCCCTAACGTAAATTTTTAAAGAAAAGTATCAAATGTTGGGAGAGCAGGAACAAAGCTGATAGTTCCCAGCCTTGCTCTCAAGGTTGTTTCAGAACAGCCACCAATGTTACAGGCACTGTGACATTTGGAATGCCTAAGTAAACCTAATGAAATATGGAATTCTTAAATTATAGACTTTCATTTTAAACACATTCTCTAAGTAGTAACACCTTCAGATAGAAAACTTGAACTGAAAATGCTGTTCGTTTTTTTTCCTATAGTTAACCTAAATATATAAAAATCTGTTTAGCCCTGCAGCTACAGCTGTGATATCCCTGGCATTTGGACGCTACATCCTGGAACCGTTTTTTATTCAGTGTGAAATTCCTGAACTGGCAATCAAGCTCATTACAGCTGTGGGTATAAGTGAGTATCACAGGTATAAACATGGGAGAGAAGAAAAGGCTTGTGCACAAAGTCTCTTTAGATGTTTTGCCTAGTAGTACTGTTCCCCAAATTATCTTCTTTTTTTTGCTTACCGTTCCAAATGTGTGCCGGAAAACAGAAAAAAGAAGGCACATTTGGAGTGGTCTCTGCTATTACCTTCTATGTCAGTTTGGCATTGGGTTGATATATACGATGGCCAATCTTTCAAAATAGACAAACAAAAATCACTTTGACAGTAAAATATTAAGTAGGTTGTACCTAAAAAGAGATTAAAGGAAGAAAACCCAATTATTTTGTAGATATTTGTGAGTTGGAAATCATTCTATCTCCATGAAATGTTGAATCCTAACTCATCCATGATCATGGAGTTATGTTTCTATGTTGGGTGTGTATGCTGCAGACTGTTTACAGTGTTAGAGGCTGCCATCTCAGTGTCATAGTTTTTGATGCCTATTATTGGCCATGGTAAGACTTTTCTTTAAAGATTTTATAATTACTAGCACAATAGGAGATTTCTTTACAAATTTCAAATTAGGAAGTTACTCATTTTTTTTTATCAGTGTGAATAGATTTTAGAAACTGAAAAAAAAAAAATCAAGAGTCCCATGAACAAAATTACCTAGGTGATAATGAAATCAAATCTGACTCTAACATCCTATCAGATTCCAAATACCAAATCCTTGAATCTCATGGGAGAGGATAACTTAATTCTTAATCATTTTGTTGTTTTAAGAATCAATTCGATTTAAATTTTAACAACTCAGAAATAGAAAGCTATATATGAATAATCGAATTTCATACTCATGGAAAAATGTTTAGGTGGTTGCTCTAAGGTGCTTCGATAGAACAATAAAAAGAACAGTGCATTTTTGACAATAGGTAAGTGGTTAGTTTGCAGGAGAGCATTAGGAATTTCATATAGAAATGTCTCAGATGCTAGGTATATATATATCTCTGAATTTAATAGGCTCATAGTGCATTTCCTAATTTGTCTTGCAAACATGTACACAGCTCTATTCTTCTGTGAGAACTCTGAAAAGAAAAGAAAATTGCTCCAAGTTGACATTTTTCTCATTCTGGGGTGGTAATGGTGTACCTACTTAATCATTGTGCCTTTAATAAACTCTACAGACACGAAGGCAAGTCACTGTACCATTCTTAACTCAGTATTCTCAGTAAATCATGCCAGTGTTATAAGGTGTTGTACAGATTAAGCGACAATGAATGAGACAATATATGTGAAGTGTTTGGGTAATGCTTGTAATTTACTAAGAGCACAATACAAATGGTAGGTATTTATGCTTTTTTTTTTTTTTTTTAAAAAGTCATTGGAACTTCCATGAGATTAGGGACCTTAACATGGTTGTATTTCCAGCCCCTCACACAGCTCCCAGCATGCTATTTGTGCTTATAATTCTTCGCTCCTGATTGATTTTTATAAGACAAGGTCTAAGAATTGTTTCTCTAGCAGAAAGGTCTATAGTCTGTATACTTGTTAAATCTGGAAGGTTGCATAGCTTCAGTTACCTCAAGCAGTAGGGGAATTGCTAGTAAAATGAAATAGTTTGCTTGATAAGATGTTCAGATCTAACACCATGAGATTCTGTGGGACGAACCATCTAAACATAGTGGCTCACCAGAACAAACAATCTGGAAATGGAACTTAAATGTCACTATTTCTTTGTAATGTGATCTTCGGCTAATTATTAAACTTCTTTAAGCTTCAGTTTTATTTGTTGGTGAAAGGCCTGTGAAAAGATAATTTATCTTGAGTGATTGTAGGAAAATGAAATTAAGTTAGATTTTTAAGACTTTGAACAGAGTACTTTGCCCACAGGAGATTCCTGATAAAGCTGGTATTGGACTAAGAGATTGGACTAACAGCCATTTTTATGCCCACAATATTCTTGTTCCCTAAATGACTAAGGCAGAATCATATCACAGTTAACATATGAAAATTGAGAAGAGAAAGAGTAGTATTTTTGAGAGCTATGTAAATTAGTAATCAAAGTTATTAAAAGCTACAAACAGAAGTCTTTAATCATAACCTATGTGTCTGTTTACAAATCTACAAATTTTGGCTGCTTTGGGCATGAAATTAGATGGTTAGTGATGATATATTTCTAGTTTTGTAAACTTAGATGACTTTCTTTTTTCTTTTTGTGGTGCTGGGGATCAAACTCAGGGCCTTGTGCATGCAAGACAAACACTCTACCCATTAATCTATATCCCCAGCCCCTAGATAACTCTTCTTATTTATCTAAGTTTCATTAAACTTTTTAAAGGGGAAATTTGTATTTTGGGAGATTAAAGGGAAACTGTTTTTTTTGTTTTTTTTTTTAAAGTAAAGCAATTAGGAGAAAGGATAACCATGTGGGTTTTAGAAAACATCTATTTAAAACATTTAGAGTTTGGTGATAGAGTAGTTAGCAAAAAACCTGAGTAACTCTTGGATAAATTTAGACACATCCTTCTATTTTTGCCACTTGTTATAATACTAGCTTTTGAAATATTTTGTAAGATAAGCCTTTGTAAGCCTGAGCTTCTGACAAGGCAATGTGTTCCAACACCAGAGCACAAAAAGGGAAAACAGAAGGAATATTCCTAGACTCAGCAGGAAGTAATTTAAATCAATGGGCTAATTGGGTAAGTCAAACTGTCTTTAAGAAGAATTTGTTAATGGAGCAACAGGGGGTTAGATGGAAATAGAGAAAGAGAAATTTACCTGGGGGCAAATCTCTGCACCCTTTATTTTTCAAAGTGAACTATTGGTGGTTTTCTGTCTGTTAGGGGTGGGAGGTTACTGAGATGTAGAAAATAGTTTAATTGTATGAATCCCTACCCTATGTTCCTTGAGGGAAAAAAGGTGTTTAAAATCTCTAGTTAAAGATAGAAAAAGGTCAATCCTGAAGGGTCTTGTTATATCATAGTTAGAGTTTCAAATTTTGTGAAATATTAACCAACCTTTGGAGAAATGATATGGAATGAGTGTGGGGAGCTCATTCCATATTTTTAAGCTCATTTTTAAAAAGTATCCTATTTCACTTCTGTCAGATCAATAAAGATGGAAAGTTTTTGCTTATCTAAAATTCTGTCCTTTCTGGTAAACATGTCAGGTACATGGAAGTTTCACTGGAAAATCCCATTTGTTCACATTTAGTGGCTTTTGATAACCCATATGACATTACCCCATTTACTTTCCACAGAACACCATTTCTTTTCACTGCTCTTGTTGGTCTAATGAGCACTGAAGTATGTTCAATGTCTAAATCATTGAGTCTCCTAAAACTGGGCCCCATGGAAGTATACACTTGAATGGCAAAGCATTATCATAAAAAAACTTTTTAAGATGTGAGATCTAGTCCCAGATCCATCCTTAACAACCCTCTCTGGGTCTCAATTCCTTTGCTTGTTTATTTTATATAGATGAGTTAAGAACTGCATCCCCTTCTCAGATCTTGTGGGAGAAATTAGGAGGAGAAAAAAAAATAACATTTATATTGCATTGTCGAAAACAGCCAGTTCTGCAAATGTATAGCCTTGTTTTCCTTTTCAAAACTGTGTTTTCCTGACATCATTAAATTGCATGACAAAAAAAAAAAAAAAATCCAGAACTAGTTGTGTGTCAGCATTTCAAATATAGCATGTGGGATGGCTCTTTGAATCTTCTGGAATCTGGGTAGACCTACTCCTTCCCTACTGTAACTGAATTACCCACACAATCAATTCATAGGTGGAAGATGTGCACAGTACTAAAATATACAAATGCTATGGACCAACAACCATGTCCTTCAGGAGGATGATAAGTAAAATGTGGCATGGAAGTGTCCTGAAGTCACAGCTAAGGTAAAAATGCACCTAGGCAGAGAGGAAGAGCCACCATGAGAGTTTGAAAGAACTGTGTGTACTGGTAAGATCACATACAACTTTGAAGTATTATCTCCTTCTTTGAGCCTTGAGTAATGGTAAAAGTGTGGGCTCCAGAGTTAGCCCACCTGGTTTCCAGTCTTATCTTTACACTTACCTCCTAAGTGCACATAGGCAAGTTAAACAGTATCTTGAGTCTCAGCTGCTTACCGGAAAAATAAGGCCAATATTAAGTAACCATGTCATAGACAGGAGGATGAAATAACATTATCTATGTATTAAGTTCTTGTACAACATTGGCCATAATAGTATACATTTATTTGATGTTCACCATTTTTATTTCTGATTGTGAGATCTTAAATATAGACTGGTTCTCTGAAATAATGCATCCAGAAAATGGATGCTAACAAAGACAAAGAGGAAACCCAAGCAGCCACTACAAAAAAGCAATACTACCCACTTTATCTCACCAGGTAACCTATATACACAGCATTCGTATATTTTATCAGTTTAGCATGAAGCAGTCAGAAGCCTAAAAGAATCTGAACTGGTGAGAAAACCCAATATATCCAGACTCTCTAATCTCTCTCTTCAAACCCAACTTGAATTATGGAGCATGCAGAAAGAAATACTTTCCCATCCTTAAATCACAGTGTCAATCCTTAACATTCCCCTAAACATCCTCTTCAAATACAGCTCCCTTCAAATATGTATTTCTTTTTTTTTTTTTTCTCATGTTAATGGATTGGAATAATCGGTGATATTTATTTATTTATTTATTTATTTATTTTTAATTTTATTTTTTATTTTTATTTTTATTTTTTTTAATTTTTTATTGTTGGCTGTTCAAAACATTACATAGTTCTTGATATATCATATTTCACACTTTGATTCAAGTGGGTTATGAGCTCCCATTTTTACCCCATATACAGATTGCAGAATTACATCAGTTACACATCCATTGATTTACATATTGCCATACTAGTGTCTGTTGTATTCTGCTGCCTTTCCTATCCTCTACTATCCCCCCTCCCCTCCCCTCCCCTCCCCTCTTCTCTCTCTGCCCCCTCTACTGACATTCATTTGTCCCCCTTGTATTATTTTTCCCTTTCCCCTCACTTCCTCTTGTATGTACTTTTGTATAACTCTGAGGGTCTCCTTCCATTTCCATGCAATTTCCCTTCTCTCTCCCTTTCCCTCCCACCTCTCATCCCTGTTTAATGTTAATCTTCTTCTCATGCTCTTCGACCCTACTCTGTTCTTAGTTACTCTCCTTATATCAAAGAAGACACTTGGCATTTGTTTTTTAGGGATTGGCTAGCTTCACTTAGCATAATCTGCTCTAATGCCATCCATTTCCCTGTAAATTCTATGATTTTGTCATTTTTTAATGCAGAGTAATACTCCATTGTGTATAAATGCCACATTTTTTTTATCCATTCATCCATTGAAGGGCATCTAGGTTGGTTCCACAGTCTAGCTATTGTGAATTGTGCTGCTATGAACATCGATGTAGCAGTGTCCCTGTAGCATGCTCTTTTTAGGTCTTTAGGGAATAGACCAAGAAGGGGAATAGCTGGGTCAAATGGTGGCTCCATTCCCAGCTTTCCAAGAAATCTCCATACTGCTTTCCAAATTGGCTGCACCAATTTGCAGTCCCACCAGGATTTATAGATGTGGCTTTCGTTGCTGCATTTCACTTCTTAGAAAACTGCAACATAAATAAGCAAATAAAAAGTACATGTCCCTGTATTTTCATTTTGGAAATTTGAGGCAAGCAAAAAAAAAAAAAAAATCCAAACGGATATAATTATTTCCTCATGTGTGAAATTAGCAATCACTCAAAGGAAGTGAAGCTACGGTCAGAGAGCTGGCTCAGATTTCTTTTATTATCACAATATGGTTAGATAGTATGTATTTAAAAAAAAGTGGATATTGTTTATTTCAGAAACTCAGAAAGCTCTTGCATTTTGTGAATCCCAAATCCCTGTTCAATATTGTTTGATAAGCAACATACACTGTCTTAGATTTGCTGTACAGACTCGTGATAAAGCAGCAGTTCTGGCCACTTGAGAAACTTTAGAGCTCTGCACTGGCTGTCTTGCTTGTTAGGTTGTACCTTCAGGGCCGAAGAGGTACACCTCAGCTGGAATTTGGTGTACCAAATAAGGAGTGCAATGCCTGCAAGCTTTCTCAAAATCCTGCGAAAACGGGATTTTGAGACAGCTTTGAGAAAAACCAGACTTAACCAGAATTTTTGTTTCAGTTGTTTAAGAAAAGAGCAAGGTGTGATCATCAATTCATGAGAGTGACTTGATTTGGGTCTCCCTTTGTCTAAGGAAACTTTCCAAAATAGAAAAGAAAATCCCAAAGACTTCTTTTGTTTTTCGATTTCAGTAGGCATTGCTAACTACTTACACTCTTAAAGATTAACAGACCCTTTTTTCTCTTTTCCACTGTATAGTGGCTAGATGTTCCTAAAATCAGAATGCCCTTTCGTCCTTCCTTCCCTTTTTTCCTTCTTTCTTTTCTTCCTATCGCCTCTTTTCCACTTTCTCCACCCTTCTCTTTTCTACTGCAGTGTCCTTGCAGAGAAAGAGAGCGCCTTTGGTTTGGGGAGCTCTGTTTAAAAGAATACAGAACTCTTTTGTTGCTAGTGGGAACAGGAGATCATTTTTTTTTTCACTTTCTTGCCAACGTTGAGCCTCCTTAATTAAAAAAAACAATAGGAATTTTCATGTGATGGCTCATTTATCACATGGGCATTTGCATAGAAAAAGATCACTGGATGATGGAGAGGCCCCTAGAGTTGCACTAGATTACTTTCAATATGGAAGTGATTTTTATTAGGGAGAGAGAGAGCTAATATTATTTATTTTTTGTCATTCCTGATAAAACAACAGCACACTTGGCCATTGGCAATGGACCTACCTAATCTTTTCTGTCTTGGGCTTCAAATGTAGATGAGGTATCTTCCCTGAGGCTTTGGTCATTCCAATCATGCTCACCAGTAACTCCTTTAAAATACTTCCTCATTACTAACTTCCTATTTTACTTTCTATAGAGTCTTTGGATCCTTTATTTTTTTTCCAGTGTATGAATTATTTTAAAAATGAAATTTATTTATGGATCTATTTATTAACAAAAATTCCATCTTTACAGAGGTATTTGCAAAATTATTTTGTATAGTTTTTTTTTTTTTTTTCTTTTGGGTGGTGTGCTGGGGATTGTACCTAGGGCCTCATGCATATTAGGCAAAAGCTTACCAGGGAGCTACATTCCCATCTGTATATAGGTTTTGTGCAGTGTTTATCATCAAGTAACACATCAAGTTAGTTAATTCACTTATCACTCTATCACTTTGCCTAGTTGCTTCCTTTTTTTAAATTTTATTTGCTTTGTGGTGGGAACCTTTAAGCAAATTTTCACTTTTGTTAGCTATAATCACCAAAATTATACATTTATTATAAAATATACTGAAATATTATTAAAAAATAAATACAGAATATTGGTATTCTATCATCTATAGATATTTGCTATTAATGTTTTGGTAAATATTCTTTCAGATCTTTTTCTTTACTTCTTTTTTTCTATATTTATCTATATGTCTATCTTCTTAACCTACCTGTCCATGCATCCATTCATCTATCCATCTCTCTGTAACATACTGTCTTGATCAGTAACATGTTGTAAATAACCTTTTTTGTAATAATTATATAATTGCAATATGATTTCAAGTGGCTGTATAGATTTATTAAAAGGATATACATTTAAAAGTATTGGTTGTTTTAAAATTTGCCTTTAAGGATCTACATTATTTTAAAATTTTACCTTTATAAATTATGTGTTGATAACATTTCACTAATTTATGAACACTGAAATGAGCTAATGATCAAGCAGTAAAACTGAAGAGAACTCTTATTAATGTACATAAGGAAAACTTCCAGTTGCAATTTGAATTATAAAAATTCTGTCAGTGTTTTATTTCATCCCCTGAGAAATAGTTTAGACATTTTTTATATTTGTTTAGGGAAAATGCATCTTTATAAAAATAATGTTTATAGATAATAACCATAAATGTCAGGAGTAGAGTAACTATTTTGATTTATTTTTGATGTCTTTATTGATGTTGTTGTTTGGGGGTTGTTTTATGTTTGTTTTTGTTAACACTATGCAAAGTGTTTTGGAAAGAGCATAAAGTTGAAATTCACTGTCTAGTATAACCTGTCATTCCAGCCAGCTAGAGGAAGAAGGTCTTAGAGCATCTCTATACACCATGTGCCTTAGATTTTCTGAGAATACAGTTCATCCATTCATTCAGCAAACATGTGTTAGTTACTTCTGTGGACCAGGCATGGAACTAGATTTTGGCAAAACAGAGATGAATAGTCCATGTTCTCTCTTTGAAGTTTTCATGGTCCACAAGGTGGGGTGGTGATTGCAGCTTGGGAAACTGTGGGCAACATCATTAAGAATGGGAAATTCTGTTGGCTCGGGACCCAGGGTGCATCCTAATCTGAAAATTCTTATGACATTTTACTCAAGTCCTAAAACGATTGTTGGGTAGGCTAGAAGTCAACCTTTCATGTGAGAATCGTAATTAGAGAAAAACCAGAAGAAGGCTGAGGGTGAAGACTAAGATCTAACTTCTCTACTTTTTACTCCTTCTTGAATGGGAGCCACCTTGGTGCCATCACCTAGAGAGGACACTGTTGCCAGGTGAAGCTAAAAAGTAAAATTCAGCAATTTGTGCACTGTGATGGCTGCAGGATTTGGTAGTACAAGATATTTTGGTTTGATCATCAGAGCCCTACACTATATATCCATTCTTAGAGAGGTATGCAAAGAACAGAAAGAAATTCTGTTTAGAGGTTTTATCCAAGCTTCTAAAGTTTAATGTGCATAAAATCACCTGGAGATTTTGTTGAAATGCAGATTTGCATTCATTAGGTCTGGGGTGGGGCCGAGATTTGGCAGTTCAGCATTTCTAAAACTCTTACAGGTAATGTCAACACTGCTGGTTTGTAGGTCTCTCTTTGAGTAATGAGGACCTAAGATGTCTTGGTGCCCATGAGGGTTTGCCTTTTGTAACTTTGGCTGTTTGTTTGCAGCTGTGGTGATGGTTCTAAATAGCATGAGTGTCAGCTGGAGTGCCCGGATCCAGATTTTCCTAACCTTTTGCAAGCTCACAGCAATTCTGATAATTATAGTCCCTGGAGTTATACAGCTAATTAAAGGTATGGACTGAAAAGTAAATGCTTTTTAAAATACTTATCTGCTTTTGATCTCTTCTAACACTAACTTTTGCTTGTACTAGCAGAATCCTTAATTAGTCTTTGCTCATGGAACTTAAACTCTAGACTGTCATCTAATTGATTTGAAAGGCTGCTACATTGGGGTGAATTGGTATTTACTGTTGAATGGCAGCAAGAGGATTTGGGCCAAGCATTCAAACAGGGCATCAGTGAATTCTATTCATAAAAACTGGAGTGAAGATCCAAAGCGGGGAAAAATCTGCAAGTAGCTTTAACTACAGATAAACGCATTCTTTCACTTTCACTTTAAAGTTGTTCAGTAGCAGTAATAAAGATTAAAGAGAAAGATTTTTGGAGAATAATGAAAAATATTTTATATAATAATGAATATGAAAAATAATTTTATTATTTTTATTTTATTATTTTTATTATTTTCTGGTTATTATTCTTTTCTATCTTCAGAGTGAGATCCTCAGAAGAGGAGTCAGATATGTGAATGATATTCCTAAAAACCAAATAGTTATGGGATGATCAAAACAGTTGTAAAAATTTAACTTCTATGGTTACATTATTTTTCATGTAAAACTTGCTTTAGTACAGACACATCATATTTTCTGGATATTATTTAATAAGAACAGAAGTTGAGGGGGGGATGTCATTTGGAGTTTTAGTGGTTTGGGGAGAGAAGTCACATGCCATTGCTTGAATTCAGTGGAAATGGTTGGCAGGGAAAGAGGTCCACCTGAGTTATTTAATTGGCCGTGGGCAACACAGTAGAAAAGAGAGAAGAAATTGTGAAGAGGTGACATATACCTTGGGCATGTTAAGTATTTAGTGTTTACACTGATATTGTTTGTCCCAAGAAAGCGCATTCATAGAGAAGTTCATTGAAGAACCACAGTAAGGCAAAGGCAAATGCTAAATTCAGCAAAGTCATTGCTCTCTGTAGAGGCATCAAATAACAACAAATGTCAAAAGACTGGTCACTCTGCAGCTGGGAAAGAGAGCAGCTGCTGTCCATTGAATAAGCCTGGTGGGGGATCTTAGAGTCCTTCTGGCAAAATCCTTCCATCTTCTCCAGCAACCTCAGTCAGCTCAGAACCACACACCACGCAGACGAAATGTTCTGAGGAGACCAGTTGAGCTTGCTCTGTTAATTTCACCTCAGCCTCCACAGAGCTGGCTTGCACATATTCTGTCTCATTCCTTGGGAATAGTAGGCCAAATAGCCTGTTCTGTTCTCACTTTCTTCTTCTGTAATGAGTTCCTTCATGGTTTGGAAAGTACAGAAATCCCTGGTCACCAATCCTGGTTTAGTTCTGGTTTAGATTCCTGGGTCAGATGGTCTACTAGATGGGACTCATTTTTTTCTCTTTGGTGAAATGTCAGGCATTGTAGGTAGCACTGTAGTCCTTAGTCAGTCTTGAACACTTAATTATATATGTATATGAGGTGGGGTTTGACTGACCAAATGTATTGCAGGTTCCTTGAGACCACGGATCAAAATATAGCTCTTGGGGTCTGTCTGGCCATTACAATGGAGTGATATTTTCATTAATACTTATGGCATCAATGCTTGATATGACCAGGACTCTTCCTAGTTCTCCAACAGAGAAGTCATCTGTGAATATTACCACAAAGTAAATTTGAATATCTTGGAGAGCATTCTTAGCAAATACATTTTCTCTGTTACTATAAAATTATAAAAAATCATGATTTTCTTTGTTTCTAACCTAATCACATATTTTTTCATTCATCTGAGACTGCAGGGGGACAACGACTTCCCTAACACATATTGCACATTTGTTTTTACTCTAATCAGATCCTGAAAATAATTGAATGTTGTGTATTCACTTATGAGGACTTGTTGATCTTTCTTTTGAATATTATGACTTTCATCTTCTCGAGACCTCTGTTATGCAGCCAAAATATTCCCGAAGTTTAGAAATAAAATGCCTCTCTTTTGTAGCACTCACAAAATGGCACTTTTGAAGGCCTGTGCTTGGGTGTCAGCCTTTGCAGAGGTTTCTTCTTTTCATCTGGTCCTGCGCTCTTGAGTGTTACTATCCCTTCAGGCCAATCATGATAGAAGTATGCTCAGCAGATGCTTTCATCTGAATTCCAGTATTTATATTTTCTTTCTGTAAGGACACAGAGATGTCTTAGTTAAACAGGCATTTCTGATTCACTATATCATTAAAAAAATTAAGTTATATTTGGAAACTGGTTACTTTGAGGGGAAAATAGCTTAGAATACAACTCCACATTCTCTGTTTCGAGTCCCCAAACTCACTCATGGTGTGTCATCATAAACATCCTGTCTGGTAGTGCAGGCAAAAGCTGACATTTGACTTAAAAGAGAATGTCTTCTACATCAACCATCTCCCAACCTACTTTTGTTTGTTTATATAGGGACTGACTTTGAAACAAAGTCATTTCCCATTTAGGTTATCTCATTTGCTATTTTTTTTTCTGCTAAAGTTTAAATATCAGCTCACTAAAATTAGTTTGAATTTATGATTTTTTTTTTTTTGTGTGTGTGTGTGGTGCTGGGGATTGAACCCAGGGCCTTGTGCATGAAAAACAAAGCAGTCTACCCACTGAGCTATATCCCTAGCCCTGAATTTCTGATTTCTGAACTACATAAAAGATTAACAAGAAAAGGATCCTCTGCAATTTTCAAAATAGAAAAAAAAAAGTGATGAACAAAAATCTACTTGTTAATGCAAAATTTGTTAAAACATAGTTTAGAATTCAGTGTTTCTAAATGAAAACTGTGATATTGGGACCATGTTAATGAACTTTCTCTTTAAAGAAGCAACTGGTAGGCAGGTATGGTGGTGCACACCTATACCAGTTACTCAAGAGGCTGAGGCAGGAGGATCATAAGCTGAGGCCAGCCTCAGTAACTTAGGGACACTTTGTCTCAACATAAAAAGCTTAGTTCAGTGGTAAAATGCCCCTGAGTTCAACTCCCAGTACCTCTAATTAATAATAATTACAATAGTAATAAACAATAAGGACCAGCTAGGAAATGCTTTCAACTTTGTGGGCAGCATGGTCTCTGTTGCAATTACTCAATTCTGCTGGCATAGAGTGAAATAAACCACAGACAATACACTTAAATGAGCGGGCATGGATGTACACCAATAAAACTTTATTTTAAAAAGAGGCTTGTAGGTTGGTGTGGCAGATTTGGTCTGCAAAGTTTTCAACTCCTGTTCCAGAGGCTGGTGTCTAATGGTCTGCATGGGACAAACAGGAAGTTAAAGACATGGGACAGCAACTCTGGAGTGTTTCCCTGCCTCTTCAGTGGAGGTACACCCTTGGATATTTCTTTGCATTTCTTCCCAAGCATTGCACTCCTAAAAACCACAGTAGACCACTCCTAAAAGCTACAGTTCACAGAAAATCCTTCCGTCTTCTTTCATGGTCGAAGTATGAGCTCACTTAAACAAGGGCTGGTTTTTAAGATGTCATCCTGGCTATGACATGATTAGAAGGGAAACATGAAATTGTATGAGTGGTGATCAACGTACCTATGGGACTTGTTCTTTAGCTTGGGTACAGTATTAAAAGGTAAAGTTGGCAACAAGCGGAGAGTGAGTGATTAGGTCTCTTTTCCCAGAGACGACGGTTAGAAGAAATAAAAACCAATTCTTTGTAAAGCTCTAAAGTCTTTCTATTCTAATTGCAGGGCAAACCCAACACTTTAAAGATGCCTTTTCAGGAAGAGATGCCAGTATTATGGGATTGCCCCTGGCTTTTTATTACGGAATGTATGCCTATGCTGGCTGGTAAGTTGATCTCTCTGGATTTGGATGGTTTGTATGGTCCATTTATTCCTTTAGGTTCTTAGATTAAATGTCAAGCAGGGTGCCAGGCCAATGAGGGTGGTTGTGCTCCAGTGTTATATGGTACTTGAAATGAGAAGTATGGTTGGTCCCTTGCACGAGGCCGGTTACCCTGCACATGACTTAACGCAAAGCTGGTATTGGAGGAGTGGAAAAGTGTGATGCTTTCCTTCAATGAGCTTGAGGACCATGGTCAACACACCTATAACAAAAGACAGGTTAAGAGAAAAGCATGTCAAGTGACTTAACCAAAGTTTAAGACGACATGGGAGTGCTTAGAAATGAAGACCCCCAAACTCAGGGAAAACTGTCTATTTGTACACGAGGAATGGTAATAGATGGAGAGTGGAACCCAGGAAGGCCTGCCTGTCCACCCAGGTTCTTCGTGGAGTCTCCAAATAGCATCCCCTGCCCCTGCCCTCCCCAGGGGTTCAGAGAAGGAGCCCTTTGGAACAAGAGTCTTGTGACCTACTATCAGACAAAGTTAATCAGGGCATTTCTTTATGTCCAGCTCCTAAACAGAAAGGCAGAAGTTAGAGTAATTTTCTAGATCCTCTGGCTTGTTTGGGGGAAAGAGAGGAGCCTGGGATCCCCCTTGGAGAAAAGAATTCTAAATTTTATGGCTGGCCTTGGAAGGAAAGGAAACCCAAGAAAGAAGGGTGGGAAGAGGTCAGAGAGATCTTACTTTTGTGGCTGTTTGTTTCCTTCAGTTGAGAGTACTCAGCCTGCCAAGGCTCAGAGTTTCGGGTATTGTTTTCTAAGTCCCAACACCATCAAGGTCACTACCAGATTTAGCCCAGTGTCATAAGAAACAAACAAATACTGGGTCTTAAGAGCCAGCATAAATCACTTATAATTATGTATCCGTGAGGACAGAACAGTGCCATTAGGTACTAAAGATTAGTACTTGGCTTGTCAAAAGGTCTTTCAGCTGAAGCTCCAAGGATATTTACAAATAGTGATTAATGAACTTTTTCTACTTTCCCCTGAGAAAAAAAAATCTGAAATAAATGAGGCATGCCCAGGAGGTTATAAAATGGTTTCCTAAAGGCAGGAAGGGAGAAACCAAGACAATAAAATCACCTGTACCAGAACATGGGTAACATTTTAGTGGACCTTAGAAATTCATCAGAATGTCCTCAACATCTGAAAATAAAAGTATGCCACAAAGATGATTAAAGTCATGTTGCCGCAGATATGATTCCTTTGACTGGAGGAGTGGAAAAGTGTGATTGGATAACAATAATTATGAATCAATATGGAACTTTCCCTAACTAAATTTTATTTATCTAGTAAGCTTTAATTGAAATGAAAGTTTTAAGAAAGCCCTGTAGGCCCCCAAATATCATTTAAACATCCAAAGCAGTGTGGTAAGATTAACTTTCATTGTTTTGGAGTAAATGATGGCACCATTTTGTTTATTTATTTATAACACTAACAAATAGCTTTAGCTATAAGAACGTTCTAGGACCTACAAAATAATACCAGGAAACTTCACTAGCTCAAAAATTATGTAAACACATTTCAAACACAAATATAAGTTCCTTTTGTTTCTTTAAGCTTTTAGGCTCCTAAATTCCATCTAATGCAGGGAAATATAAAGGTATTTCAAAATAAATGTACCTACTAATCTCACTGAATTATGAAAATATGGCATTAGAAGAAAAGGAAGAGCATATAGCAACTTAAAACTTTAGCATGGTTTTGAAGCAAAATATGATTGAAGGTTGTTTGAAGATTGTAGCTCGGAGACCAGTGTGAAAATATTTGTATATTCCCAGAATATTTTTACAGTCATTGTGTGTAAGCATTAATCACTCAGTGTTTTTGAAGTCCTTTTACTTTTGTCCAAAGCACAATGTGGTGCTAGGCAGACAAAAGAACTGAGTGTGATCACAGGGTTAGAGGCTGAATCCACTCTTCCCTGGCTATTCAGTCTCAGTGAGAGCTAGTGGCCTGGGGCAGCAGCCAAGCTACTCTGAGGGTCTCTGGAAGCCTCAGCGTGGAGTGGGGAGGTGGCAAAGGCTTTCAGCCACAGCCAGGCGCTGGGAGCCTGGTGGTATTCTGTCAGGAATGTGGAATATGGAGACCATCACAAGAGAGATTTGATTAATTCTGTTGAATGGAGTTCTCTTGCCCGTGAGTCCCCTGCATCTGTTCCCATGGAATCTTAAAAGACTTCTCTCCTCACTCCTCCACCACCTGGCTCAATATTCTGGTCACCTGCTTTATGTGGTGCCAGGTCCCTCCACTTCTGAGGCTTTTGAGGGCCAACAGATTTGTCCATGTATAAAGAGTCTTTTCATTTCTGATTATCTGATTAATATTGAATTTTGTTGATGCTGACCCCAAAATATGACTCTGTTTACAGGATGGAAGGTTTTTCTAAAAAGCTTTATGCTCTCATCACAGAATCCTTATGTCTACTCCCTATTTGAAAGCGGAAGAAGCTCCCAATTTCCTCATATTCTTGAGGGTTCAATCACAGTGTTGGAAAATAAGTCCAGGATTTCAATGTAGGAGACAGAGAGTGACTGTGCTTCTGTAATGGGTGGCTACACTCTCTGAACACTGCTTTCTGGAGAGGGTAGAAATGCTCTGGTGGCTGATGTACAGCTATCAGTCTGAGAAAAAAAGGATGCTGTGTTTAGGAAAATAGTCTATTGGTTTGAAATTCCAGAAGAAAAGTTACTATCAGATGCAAGTGGAGAAGATAGAGCCTAAAAAAATTCCCCAATAGAGAGGCGTTTATTCACTTTCTAAATGTGAGTCCTACCATATGACAGCTCCATCTTTCATGATGTGATTCTACATGCGAGTCTTAAAAGACTCGGACATAGAATCATAAACAGGGGACCATAAATGAGCCACTTCCTATATTGCTGCTGGGACAATGTTTAACCTCCCCCCAAAATAAATAAATAAATAAATAAATAAATAAATAAATAAATAAATAAATAAATAAAATGGAGGCATTGCAGATGAGGCAGACAGAAGCAAAGCAGCTATTGTCACCAAGGTTACTGGCCAGCTTCTTAGCCTGTCCGGAAAAGCAGCAAGACCACTGTTGTCCTGGGGACCTTGCTCGCTCTGAGCAGTTGAATAGGAAAAAGACACCTCTGAACCTTGGAGAACCTGAATAGAATCAACTTTGGGCTCTGAGGAGCACAGAACCTTTCCAGAATGATGAAAACTCCTTCACGGAAGCATGATTAGGGGAAAAGAAATCATTAACCCAGCGAGGTCACAGAGTTGGGTCAGAATAACTTTAATACTGTTGCCAATATCTGCATTCAGAGAAACACATCTGCCAGTCCCCCTGTGGCTCTGGGGAACCAAACCAATTTCAATCCCATATCTTGATCCAAAGTTAAATATTGCTTGGTGGGATTTTTTTTTTCCCTAAACCGTGAGCCAGAAAGTAGTTTTTCAGTTGTCTTTTTTTCCCTCCCTTTTAAAGCTTATCCTCAATGGACTTAGTCTTTCTAAAGCACCTGCTGGGATTATTTTGTACCATTGTGTCAAATCTAATCTACAGAATAAGCTTCTTTTAAAAATAATTCACATGGTTGGGTATTGGAATGTGCTGCTGGCATTACAGAGCCTTTTGTGCACAATCATGGAAAAGCTGGGACAAAAGATTCTGTAAGCATCTCTGGGGGCCTTGAGGAGATAGAATACCCAAGAATTCTGTGGACTCAGGGCTGGAGATCACAGAGCATAAAGGTCTATTTCCCACAGGATGTGATGTTTGGACTAAAATAAGAAGCTTTCTCCTTCTTTCCCTCCACTCCCTGCCCCAGGTCTTTCCTCCCTTCCCTCTCCTTCCCTCTCCTCCTCTCTGCTGTTCTCTGGAACCATGGAAAACATTTGAAGTTAAATTCTTTCTTCATAACTGTTTCCCCTTCTTGCTTTAATATTGTTGGAAAAGACTAGTCTCTAAAGCAACCTTTAAGAAGAAACTGGCCATCTTTGACGTAAGAAATCTAGAAACAGTTCTTCGTGTGTGATTTTTTCTTTTTCATTTTCTTCCTGTACTTGTATTTTCTTCCTGTTGCCTGAGGCTTATAACAAGCACATCAGATCTCTCTCAAAGAACATATTCCAGATGTATGCACTGACTGTTGCTTGCTTTCCTAGTATAATGACAACCTCTATTTTTAGAAATTTAACTTTCTAGTCATTAAAAAAATGTCTTGGCTACTGACCTTTTATATCGCCTTTATCACTACTCTTCTCTCAGTGTTTCAAACAGAACTACTTAAAGCATAGTCCTTCCAATTGCTGGCAGCTTCACCTTGAACGTCAACTCCTACTTGAGAATTTAGATAAGGTTTCCATGAAGATGGAGCAAGACAGGTTTCCTCTTCTTTCTTTTAGGCTGTGAGGTAAGCACATTAGCTGATGGGCTAATATTCCAACCATCGATTTTAGAATGTAGAGAATTTGTACATCAAGACCTGTGCTCCTGTGTACCCATGTAAAAAGTTATTTTTAACCTTCTGCGAAATAAGATATCAGGAGTAGGTTGAAAATATGATTTCCTAGTTAAATGAAGAGATAGCGAGTTCTTTGTTTTTTTAGTTCTTTTTCTTTTCTTAATGGTCCCTCAGTTTTCCCATTTCCATGGTCTAGTCGTCTATCCATGCTTACTTCATGATGGAATCTGCCTCAGCCTTACATTGTGAAAACCGAATAAAGAACTATGAGGGCTTAAAGGCTGGCTAGCAGTCAGTTCAGATTACAAAACAAACTCCAGGATTCGAGTGCTAGACAATCCCATATGGGATGGAGAGAGTCATAAAGTGAAGGAAATTTCTCTAGGGCCCCGATATTTGGGTGTTACTTGCAATCCTGTGGAGCTTGAAAGGAACCTACTGTATGCCTAGAATATTTCTTCTCACGTAAAAAGACCCAGAAAGTGTTGTGGACTTAAAAATGTACAAAATTTCCTGCTCTTTAGTTGGTGATTTATGGTGCAAAGACTACGGATGTGCCTGAAATTAACAGGCCTACGTGGGAAAAAAATGAGAACAGTCCTGCGACGTGAGGTTATTTGGAACATATTAACCTGAAAGGAAGATGTGTGAATTGAGGATTTATCACATTTTTATTTTTTAATTACAAATTGACAATTAGAGTTGTATATGTTTATGGGGTATAAAGTGATGTTATTATTTATGAATATTATGTGGAATAATTAAATCGAGCATATTGACATATTCATCACCTCAAATATTATTTTTGTGGTAGAACATTTGAAATTTACCCCCCCCCAGAAGTTTTGAAATGTTTATTATTCTACCATTTGTGGTTCCGACTTGTACACTGTGTTTCTGTCTAGGAAGTCAATAACAGTTCCCTAAATCTAGAAATGCTACTGTCTTATAGCACTGTAAGTTTTGATATATGTCTCCACTTCTGAATTTGGAGGGGGCAAAGGCCATCTTATAAGTTCTCTTCCCATTTCCTCTGCCACACAAGAACTGCAGAATACTAAACTGTTGCTCATATGTCATTGGGCATAACCACCCTGACACATTTCTGTACTCAGCCTGGAAGACCTCACGCCTCCTCACCAGGGCTACCACCCAGGAGTGTTAACCACTGAGCCACACCCCCAACCCTTTTTATTTTTAATTTTGAGACAGAGTCTTGCTAAGATGCTTAGGGCCTTGCTAAATTGATGAGGCTGGTTTTGCACTTGTGATCCTCCTGCCTCACCTCTGGAGTCACTGGTATTACAGGTGTGCACCATTGCACCCAGTCTAAATATTAAGAGTTCTTGACACTCAGGTTGGGGGATGTCTCCTCTAAAAATCTCCCCTTGACCTCCCAGGCTGGGCTTAACTCCACCTCTGGCTCCCATGTGTTGCACTGAAGAGAAACTACGGGATTTTCCACTCTCAGATCCCTACTGTTCAAGTTAGAAGCACTTCACGTGTGTGTGGCTTAATAGAAAAATAATCTATGGGGGTTTTGTTGCTAGATATTTTCATTGTACTGTAAGTATTTTTAATGAAGTTTTCATAATCTGTGTTCAATTTTAAATATTTAAAATGTGAAACTTTGATTACAGTGGTAAAATATATTAATAGTTGCTAATTTGTATGCTTTTAGGTTTTACCTCAATTTTGTCACTGAAGAAGTAGACAACCCTGAAAAGTAAGTAGCCGTATTTACTCTGAAATTTTTATGAGGAATAGAATGTAAGATTACCTAGTTGAAAAAGCAGAGCCAAAGAGGGAGTTTAGTGGGGGCCAGTTACCACCATCATCTTCACCACCAATGTCATTGACATTATCTTAGGCACATACAATTTATTTGATTTTATCATAAATTATGTGTAAATAACTTAATTATAAATTATATATTCAATACTATTTTCTTATAACCTAAAAAAGAATAGAGTTGTATCTTAGTAACCTGTCTTACATAAACACATACAATGAACTTGATATTAACTCTCAGACGCAAGTGTAGCTTGAGCTCAAAAAGTTCTTATTTCTAGTAATACATGTTCTTTTTTTTTCATAACTATTTGATTAAATAAAATAATGTAATTAATGGAAAAGAGTTATGAAAGCATGGAAATACATGTAGCATATCATAGGAAGTTGTGAATTTGGAGACCTGAATCATTATTTTACCTTTTCTTTCTAAATAACAATGTGATGATTGGATGATTGAATGGTGATTTACATAATGTTTCTAACACAGGCTAAGAAATATGAATTAATATTATGTTTTGCCCATAAACATTTGACTTTGTACAGAAAAACAACGTGCAAATTTGTGGGGAAAAGAGGGAAAATTTAATAAGCAGAATGCAAAATATAAACTCTAAAGTTATTTAATTCATCTTACTTTTATTCAATACCTGCTGTGCTCCAACCATGTTGGAGCATCTTCCATGATAAATGAGGTTTGTCTCTGAAGATTTTATTTTCTAGTTAATGAGTTGAAGCTGTAAACAAGTAAAGGTAGCAGTGTGGTTGATATCATAGTAGGTTACTTCCTTGGTGTGGCAGAGAAGAAAGGAGCAAGTACTTGACCCTATCTGGAGGGATGCTGCTAATGCAGAATCTTGAATGAATTAGTAAGAGTTTCCCATGTAACTAATGAAAAAGAGAAGGGGGTAGAGGTTGCTTGACTTCTAGGAAAAGGAGCAAGTACAAAGGCAGGTCCGCATGAAATAACCTGGACATCAGAGAAGATGCCTAAGGGTCAATGCAGATAAGATGGACCAAGGAATTCCGGCACCTGGTGTATTGGGAGGTAGTAAACTGTTGGGAGATGGCTGTCAGGAGGTAGATCTGGCCAGGTGAAGGATGTCAGACACAGCCAGCAATGAATGGTAACAGGATGCTTCAATATGACTGACTCAACTGTTGTGCAAACCAATATGTAATATCATTGTGGAGAAAGCTACTTTATTCAGACATGTGACCAACTTATTATAGTATTGTCATATTTATAACTGGAATTGAAGGCAGAGAACACACTATTTACCAGGAACCAGTTTTAACATTACCTGGAAATGATAAACTAACTTATGACAGTAAAATCTAATGTTTACAGAAAAAATAGGTGAAGTACTTGAGAATTATTAGTGTATAAGTGGAGACACAGAGAAAAGACTGCTCTTAACTAGATTTTACATAAAATATTTATTGGATTTCCCATATGTGAAAGAAATAACTATATTAGGACTGTAACTTTTGAATCTGAAAACATTTTAAAGAGACACACTTCTAAAGTCTAATGTAAGGGAATATTTATTATGGAAAAACATGGCAAATTGTAGGTTTATGGACCTACAACATAACATTTATTACAATAGTACTTCAGAGATGTAGTTCAAATTCTTTTTTAGTGTTATTTTAATTTTATTTGCCATGTATACATTACTAATGTGTACATCAAGTATATTTTTAAACTCTCTCTGCCATTGTTACTATCTGAATTTTGGATATATTCTACCAGAGTGCCTTGCCAGTCAAGAATTCTCTTTAATTCTTTTCTTCCTTAATTTAATTTCATTTCTTAGTTTCTCACACTGATAATGTCCATGATTCAATGTATACAAATACTAAGGAATAGTGATAGTGATGTGATTCAGTGTTTTGTTTTGTTTTTCTGTTGCAAAGAAATTTTCTTATCTCAAAAAACAGAACAACAGCACGTACCTCTCTGGTTGTGTTGGTAAGTCAATATGTATCAAGTACTTAGATTAGCGATTGTCACTTTTTCTCTACATTATTCTTTTTACTAATGTTACTGATATATTCTTATTTTAGAGAAAGGTAAACTGTTATTCAGATAATAGTATTATCCAAGTTTCAGTATTCTAAAAAAAACATTTTTCTTTAGTGATTTTGAAAGAAATATGAAAAATTATTGCATATCATATTGAAACCTATGCACTACATTTTCAGTACTGAAGTTGACTATGTATTTCCTGATCTCTCTGATTCTTGTGTACAGATTTCACTGGCATTTTATATTTAGAGAAAACAAGCCTACCTTTTAAAGGGAAAAACATGAGCTATATCAGTTTTATAATAATTTTAAACTAACAGTAAAAGCAAAGTTTATTACTTGTGATTATATTAGATGAGATATTATCAACTTTTGGAAATTTTCATTTTTACAAACTTCATGAAATTTATCTAGAGCCCTTTTAAATTTATATACTTTCTTAAGGTCTTAAGCTAAGGGACTTTTGGGGGAGAGGGAAGAATCTCAGTTTTGAGGTCAATGTAATGAGCAACAGGGAAACAGCTTGAAGAGAGAAGCCTTTGACGACCTTTCATTCTTTTACATTTGAAAACCCAAATAGTTAGTTCCTACATGAAATATTTTGTGTAAGACTTAGCTGACACATTTATTTTCTCAAAATTAAAATATAGGAAATGCACAGAATCTCCTTAGTATACAGTCAAGGTTGATGTTGTGTTATGTATTTATCAACCAAACTAACTCAGGGTTTGAGCATTTGCATTAGTCTTAATTTTGAAAATGACATCTCCTGACAATGTTAATGATCAGTTTAGGTCTTTAAAAACTGAATTTTATTTTTAAAACACAGAAAATACTTGGGGAGACATTTAGGGTAGACTGTTAAGAACAGATGGTACAATCATGTGGAGCTAGTCCAGATGCGTAATTTGTATTATTTTGTAGGTAGATATGGCTCCAAAATACCTTTAGTAATGAGGGAGAATAATTACAATCCCATCTCCTTTGTGACGTGCCAAGATAAATGTGTTTCCCCATCAGTCACGAGCCTGCATTTCCAGGTGTGCTGCGACTTGCAACTTTCTGGCAGCTGGTGTAATGAATCATCAGCCAACGATACAACACCTTTCACTATCCTCCTCCATGGAGGCCATAAAATCTCCCCCAAATCGTGACCTAATGGAAAAGGTGGTAATTAATTTAGGTCGGTGAAAATAGCAATGTGATTTAAAATACATAGAATGCAGAGTCAAGTTTCATAATCTTGATTGACTACCCTGTACATGTAATTTCATTTTGAGAAATCTTTCAAATTACCTAACATTACTCTATAAAACAATTTCCGAGTTGCTATTAAAAACTTGCCCTCAGTGTTGTAACAAGAGAGAGAGAGAGAGGAACTTGGACAAGAATCTCTGTTCATGTGATTACATTTATAACATTGAGACGTTTTCCCAGGCCTTGCTTAAAATATTTTTTTTTTCTCCAAAAGTAGCTTTGGATTTATGGAAATAGCAATCTTTCAAGTATAATAATTGCCATTGAACTTTTATAATAACATAAGGATATTGCCTTTAATAATTATCTATAGCATGGTGACTGGCTCCACATTTGAATGTATTAGAATAAGATTAGTATTTTGAAGGATATGAATGTCTAAAGTTTATAAAGTGAAGGTCATAGAATCCCAAGGAATATCTAAATTTTAAAAATGCCATTGTTTCTCCAAATGGCATGTATAGTAATAATGACTGAATATATACTTTAAAAAATTAACAGTGTTTTTGCAAATATATTGAGTTTTGCCTTATGACATTTTTTTTGAATATACAATCCATTATTTGAAAAGTTATACAGTGAAAAGACCATATAATTAAGATGTATGTTTATAGTCCCGTTCTTAGATTGATAAATTGTGTCTTGTGTTGATGAAAGCTAAGAAATGAATTGCTTTGCTTTGACCTTGGGGATCTGAGATTAGTCAGTTTGTCTATTAGACTTGTTCCCCGTGTTCTTCTCACTTCATTTATTCCTTCTGTTCTGAAGACTTGGAAGTAGTAGACTTAGAGGAAGTCAGTAAAGCTTGATATCATCAGTCATTTTTGAAGAGCAGGCTATCAACATGCTCTGAATAATCAACTTTAATAGAAGGTTTAAATAATCAGAGTGTCATGTTTAATTAATACTTTGCCTGCTTCCAATTTATATTAATTGATGCCTCAAAGTCATCACACCTTGTACCAGTGATAACTTCTTAGAAAAAGAGAAACTTGGTTGGGAAAAACACTTAGGAGACCTTTAAGGCAGTGTGAGAGGTCAGATTGAACCCAATGGTCCCACAACAATCTTCTAGTTTGCATTCAGTTCAGACGTCCCAGTCTTAAGAGTTTTAGTGTATTTGTTTTCATTCCTTATTGACTCTTTAATTCCTTATTACACTGCTTTATATGGCTTATAAATAACAGGCAATATAAAACTGTTACTTGTAGGCCATATAAAACTGTTAACCTGATTAAAAACACAGCAAAACAAAACAAAACAAAAATCTGCCTAAATGTGTTGTAGCCAAGATGCATGACAGAAGGCTAATGATTGTTTTGAAGTCCTTCTGTCTTGTATTTTGCTATTTTAAAAGCTGCAGTTTTCTATAAGAGACAAATCTTAATAGGTTTAAACTTGCTAGAAAATAATCTATAATGTTTTGACAACTTGTGTGTGGATTATAGTAAAATTGTGTGATTTTTGTTGTTGTTGTTGTTGTTAATGTTGTTACAAGGTAATGTGGTGTGCATTCTTAGAATATTTCCAAAGTTTCTACTACAAATCCTCAGCTGATACATGTTCTAAAGTTATGTAAACTAATTTTCAAAAAAGTTACATCACTGTGAATAAATGCATATAGAAAGATCTGGATTATTAAACAG